CGGAGCAGATCCCCCGGGCACGACCGCGCAAATTATAGGCCAGCCGAGAGGCAGCTTCTGTCGAGGAAGCCGGTCGAAACATGGCGAGAACGTGCCGCCGGAAGTCGTGAAATAATCCTGAAAAATAAGTTAGAGTTGATTTCGAGTTGGTTAATTTTTAATTGGTAAAAATATCTTTTTAGATAAAAAAAGCCGTCGTAAGTTTGAATAGGTTTGAAATAGGTTTCATTTTAAGTTAGGTTTCTAAGTTTTAGAATATCTTTATTTCTCTCGAAGAAATTGTTCCTAGCTCTCGTTCTTTTGTTGATTCCACATTGCCCGATGTATCTTCTTATGCCGATAAAGAATATCTCGAAGTATTATCGAATATGTGCATATAATTTGATTCTCTTATGGTAACGAAGATAGGGTTCTCAATACTTTAATAATCTTACGTTACACGTAATTTAACTTCCTCGCCACAATTAACTTAATATATTCCACTGTTTCGCGTGGAAGGAAGGAATTATTCATAAAGCAATACCTGGACCAATACCGCGGCACGCGATAACACAAAACTTGCCGCTCTTGCCAGCGCTGCATCATCCTCGATCGTTATTCCGGTCAACGATCGCGCGGCCAATGTAAGTCGCGTTTATTTCAGGATTATCGTTCGATCAACAGTCTGTCCATCGTAATTCCGCGCGCACGACACGTGAAATGCCGCGATTGTCCGCGCGACCGCTGGCTTCGGGACAACGGGCGAAAGGTGAAAGAGGGAACGGTGTTGGAACTCTCGAGAGCAGGGATGCGACAGGCAGGGTGGGAGGTCGTGGCGCTGCGGTTGAAAAAGAAACTGCAAATTTTCACCGGGCCTCGTTCCTGCCCCGCTCCTTTACGTAATATGATTTTCAATTGCACACGCCCATCACGTATCACGCCGCCTTTCTATTCATATAATCCTGGCCGAGGTGCACGGGACGGGGCAAGGCGCGTTCGATTATCGAAGCTGCAGCCACGGGAGAGGAGGCGCTCGGCCATAATACCAACATAGGCCCCGGATTTCTTAGTGGGGTATGCATTATAATGCATCTACAATGCACAAGCGGCACATCAAAGCCAACTACGTGAGCGACTATGTAGCCGTGTACGGGCAATAGCCGGGAGAGACTATGCTGCCGATACGAGAATACCACTTAATGGCCGATCCATCCGCCTTCGATGCTATTCTTTTCCCCCGCGCTCCGCTTTTCCGTGACTTCCTTTTCTATGTCCTATCCTCTCGGAATTCTATCAGTTCGTCGGTAAACTTGATATGTCGCCCAGTAATCAATTAAAGATCGTGCGATCTATTATATTTGGGATGTACAAAATCTGATTGATTATACAAAAATTGTCGAAAACTCGATATGTTACTTGAAGAGGTTAATCGAGTCGGTTCGTTGGGCCATCTTGAATAACACAATCGCAAGAATATGTAGACTAGTTGACGGTTCAAGAATTTTAACATTTTAATTCTTCTCATCAAGATATGATCAATAAACTCGATCGATGATCGCGCATATTTGAAGCGACACATGCTCGAGGGATCGCGAATATATCTCTCTCGGACGGAGGCGCGTCAAGCTTCGAAGGCTCGAAGAAAAGATCAGGGGGCTCTGTTCGTCGCCCACAGACGGAAGAGCCACAGGCGTCGAAGCGAGACGACCCGAGCCGATAACGCGCGACGTGGACGGAGACGGGAACAAAGGGGATCTCGATCCATCCGCGCGCCCAGTGACCCAATACCACGCGTACCGATCGACGCTGGGAAATGCTCGATAGAAACGATCCCGCGGAATTCGCAGACGAGCACGCCGACGTGCGCCACGATCCACGCAGGGCGAATCCCTACGCCGCATATCGCCGCGTAGCCGATTCAATCACAAGTGGCGCCACGAGGCGAGGAAGGGGGATGATGCGCGAAAGAGAGAAAGAGAGAGGGAGAGAGATGGTTTTGTCGACAGAAGAAGGAAAGGGCCTGGATGCGTTGGCGTTCGGCTTCCATAACACGGTAGCGGTGTATTGGAGCGACGTGCGGGCGCAACGATCACGAACAAAGAGAGAGAAAGAGAGAGGGAGAGAGATGGTTTTGTCGACAGAAGAAGGAAAGGGCCTGGATGCGTTGGCGTTCGGCTTCCATAACACGGTAGCGGTGTATTGGAGCGACGTGCGGGCGCAACGATCACGAACAAAGAGAGAGAAAGAGAGAGAAAGGGAGGGAATGGCGAGGGAGAGGAGGGTAGGAAAGGAAGGGATGGAGGGGAGGAACTGAAACGAACGAATGAAATAACAATCCGTTCCGGCGGCTGGATCATCCCAGGCGGCGTGTGCTAACTAATGGCATTCAAAATTAGTCCTAGCCGCCGCGAAATTATTGAAACTTGATCCCGAACGGGCGGTGGATGTTCAAGGACAAGTACGTGGACCAAAGTTC